TGGAAGAAATGGTAGGCTCAGTGTCACAGAGGCATGAATCACCTGGGTGGGCTCTCGGAACTACAAGTGGTTCAAAATGGCTATAGTGCAAATCGCCCTTAGAGGGGAATGGTGGTAAATGAGGCCGGAGGCAGATAGTGAAAGACTTTGTATATTAAACTACAATTCAACCAATTTCAGTAAAGTCAATTCTCATTCGCAGAGCTGTATTTTATAAACTTGCTGAAACTCTGAATTAGCAACTACTGAACCATTGCTCCTAGGTTCCTGCCTGCCTTGGGTCCCATTTCATCAATGGATCAATATATAACTTTGTTTTATGTGTGTTTATCTTTGTGTGCACCCTATTTAAAGTACATTGTTGATTCTTCAATAATGAACTCCTGGCCAGCATCACTTATTTATAACTCATGCCTGAACAAAGCTTATCTAACACATGCATTTTCCCCATAAGGCACATGGCAACTTCTTGCACTTAGGAACACCAGAAAGCACTTCAGTGCTTGGAGGCTTTTTTTTAAAACAGCACACTCATTTTTAAAAAAGCTTAAAACGCAGCACTAAATAAACTGCAAAAAGGAAACCTGTTTATCGTATAAGAGCTGAAACGAGATGGCAGAGCCTCATCACCCCGGTCATCCTCAGCTAGAAATCTGTGTTTAGGCAAGTCAAAATTTTTGCTGTTCTGTGGGCATCCACCAATGACCATGAAAGTACCAGGAGTACTGATTTCGGAGCTTCAGATAAATTGTAGCTAGTAAGTGAGTTTGCACATATTACCAACACAGTGGCTCGGGGAGCTGTAAAATCTCAAGCCAAAGAGATGAATGACTGTGTCACCTCAGACTCGGGGCATTCTTGACTACACTTCACATGACCAACATACCTTATCAAAGAGAAATGGAAAAATGGTGATGTAAATATAGATGCATAAATTGTTTAACTTTATTGTCCGCTCCAATATAACTCACCATGATTTTTCATCTTGTCTTTGGTAGAGGCAAAGAGAAAAGGCAGTTTTATTTTTGATTTCAGCTACGTCATGATTCTTGTCTGAGTCACCTGATCCATGGAACAATCCAGTTCTTTAATAAATTGTATTTGACTTTCCCTGCTGCTTTTAAGGTACTTACTAATTTGAACAATAAGGCTTCATGTAGCTGAAATCAAATAGATCTGCATTTATTTAAAAAAATACATGATCCTTTTTTTTGCTTCGCTCTGCATTTAATAGTTTCATTCAATCATTACAAACAGATAATTAGTATGGGTCCCTGTACAATTGTACCTTAGGGTTTTAATTTTGTTCTTAAGGCAAATGTATATAGAAGATAAAGTATACAGACCTTTGGAAAAAAGAGGAAGGGATGCATCTGGGGGCACGGCTTTACCCAATTCTGGGGCTGGTTCTGTCTGAGGCAATGAATTCAGCTACTTGATCCCAAATCTCACTCCTTTCCCCAAGTATGTTTTCATGAACTGTCCGTATTATTAAAGATTAAGAGGGGAACTTCATCTGTCAACTGAACATGTTCTCCAAGATTAAATAATGTTTGAAAACAAAGTCGTACTGTAGATGATATAAAAGAGTAATTAATATTCATATAATCTTTTTTTAAAATTCTCACCTAAGGATTTTAAAAGAGAGTAGAGGGGAGGAGAGAGAGAGAGAGAGAAAAACATCAATGTGAGAGAGATACATTGATTGGTTGCCTCCCACACGCACCCTGATGGGCCAGGGATCAAGCCTGCAACCGAGGTATGTGTCCTTGGCCAGAGTTGAACCCAGGACCCTTCAGTCCACAGGCCAACACTTTAACCACTGAGCAAAACCGGCCAGGGTCATAGAATCTTTTAACTATCATTTGCTACCAAAACATTTGTTTGTTATTGTTAATGCACAGCCTGTTTTTATGATTCTTCCACTTGAATTCTTTGATAAATTAGGAACAATAGTTTAAATGACTAAGTATATTTTGTTGGGGAAAGAGAAACCCACCATTCCTAGTGGTATCGGTTTTATGGGTGAAAAGGAACTCTTAGTATCACATCAGGGCAGGATAGCAAAACTAAAACCAAACACTGTTACTGAGAAAATTTAGCTTTTCTGGGAAGCCAGTCCTAACCAATTTGGCACCAAACAGGGTTTTCTTTATCTGAATTCCCTACATATTTGGTTTGGCTCTAGGACACTGACTTCTAGTGATTCTGAGTCTCCCTCTTCCGACTTTGAAAGTGTAGGATAACAAAGGATAACATTAAAATGTTATTTCCACTTTCATGCTTCAGTGGCTAAGAATCCACCTTGTGAAACTTCTTAGATTCTTCTTCTTCCAAGAACGTCCCTATCATAGCACAACTTGCTGTTTTTCATGGCAGTGACATATAGCAAACTCACTTTTGATTTAGACTTACACTGTGGTTGGTATTGGTAGTTATAGGTTGTATGATAGGACAGATTAAACCCCATCCCCAATGAAGGCTTTATCTGAGATGTCGACATACAGATTGAATAATTTCCTTATAAAAAATTTTTATGTTTACTCATGTTAAAACTTTGATTCCAGGTGGACATTTCCAAATGTCATCCATATATATATGTATGTATATGTATATGTATATATATATACACCTTAAATTACCACTCTGATTTCTTCTCCCTTCTCCTAGTAAATGAATCATTTATAATTCTTTTCATAAAGAGATAATCATTAAAAAGCTTTCTGAAAGGTGGCAAAACTAGAAAGCAAATTAGCTTTATGATTTCAAAGAATGAGCTAACTATTGATTTATTATAATGTTTTCGGACTACTTTAGAGCTCTCAAAGAAAGACTGTGGTCCAGGATCGTGCTATAAGGTTTCCTTTATGGACAGAGTAAGCCATCTGATCTTGGCAGACTCAACTGTTTTTGGTTTCCTGCCATGGATATCCATCACAGAAATAGAAGTCGTGATTAATAGCATTTTGTCCACTAACCAAAAGCATTTATAATGTACACCTGGAAAATATTCCAAAATGGAGGATGGCATTAAAGTTAACATTGATTTTTCAACAACTGACAAATCAATATCAGTTGAGGAGAGAAAGCCATAAGTGTGCTTTTAGGAGAGACGGACAACACATTTTTAGATTTTCATTAATTTTAAGGAGATAGTGGAAGAAAAAACACTTTAAGAGAATTTATGGAAAATATTATTTCCCACTTTAAAATGAATATTATTCCAGGAATTTACTTATCATATAGAGGTTCAAAACATTTAGAAGATTCTCTTAAATTAAGTAGATTATTATGTTTTATTTGTTCAAAAGAGCTTCTACTTCCATTTATTTTCTGCCATCAAGCTAAAAATTCTAGAACAGTGGTGGTAGCAATGCAGAAAGAGTACAATAGACTTAGAAAAACAGTGGCACCTAAAATAGATCTTATGTTTTAGTAATTACAGGGAGTTCACCTTTCCTCTCATATATATAGACCCATGAGATAAAAGCAAAACAGAGAAGAGAGGTGATGTGCTAAAAAATGGTCCTAAAGCAGATTAGCAAACAGATTAGCTTTTGGGAGCATTCTTGCAAAAATTATCAGCCTAGAAAATCTGCCAGATGGATATATGTGGAAAGGCCAAACAAAATGGAAATATCCCTGCAGAGAGCTTACGTTCAGTCATTACTTCAGTTATGCGTTTTTTTATTCAACTGGAAAGGCGTGGCGGGTAAGCAAATAAGAAAAGGCCTCTGCCCTCGTGGAGGAGAAGGGAATTACCATTCGTTGAGGACCAATGTGGCCAGGCCCCTTACATCCGATACCCGCTCTATGAGGGTATCATTTCTATCAGAGGACGCTGAGCCTTACAGGTGTCTAATAGGTTCTTCAAATCGCACGAATAGTAAGGGCAGAGTTAGACTCCCAAACCCACTTTGTCTCCAAAGCTCACTACACTGTGGTGCTTGTAATCTAGTGGGAAAGACAGAAACATATACAATTTCCTGTAGCACAGATAAGAGACTGTGACAGATACTAGGAGAGAGGGATATGGGACTTGCAGTGGGAGCGGAGAAGGAAGCTGCTCATCTGCTAGTCTCGAGGTCGCCTCTGGGAAGGCTTCACAGAGAAGGGGGCATTTGAGCTTGGCCTTGAAGACAAATGGGGAGGAGCATTGTAGGCAGAGACATAAAAGCGCACTGCAATTTGGAGAAACAGCCTGTAGTGCCGCAGGGCTTGGGAAGATGCTTCTCACGCTTGTATTCATACTACAGTTTGGAATTTTAGAATATTTGGCAGCACACCTCAACAGTGCCAGGGCCAGCAGTCAATACCGCACAGTGCGTCTCATGGACTCCGCAGTTAGGATGCAGGCTTTGATTCTAGGCCCGGCCTCTTCCCAGTTGTGGGAACTTCGGAAAATCATTTCAGCTTAGTTTGATTAAATGGGGATAAGCATCCTGAGGCTGCTTGAAGGAGAATATGAGTAGATAGATGTAAACTGCTTAGCATAGTAGGGTATTAGCACACGGCACAGACTCACTAAATGGGCTGTTAGGATACTGCATCATAGTAGGATCTGAGGATATCTATAAGAGCATTTGGTTATTGCAAGATTCCCTTGGTTGATTTGCAACCACGGCATTGTGGGAAGAGAATTGTACTGTGCTTTGCAGTGTTGACTAAACTCTCCTGTGTACTCACGAGGCACCGTTTCAGCAGCATTCTCTTTTCTGCTGGCTTGTTGTTTTGAAAGGCCTCTTTTCTCAAAAACACAACCTTCTTGTACACTCTACTGCACGACCCACTTGACTTAATGTACAATTTGGCAAATATCACAGCATAATGCGTATGTTTGGGTTTAGCAAAAATATATTTTACCCATTCACCACTCTGGTAGCACACATGGGGAGGGGTAGACAATGTGGCCTGGCCTGGGGGTTGAGAACCTAGAGAGTAGGTTACACTGGGGGTGGGGGTGGGGGTATAAGGGAAGAAAGAGAGGGGTAGGAGGTCAGTCAGGTCATGGTCAGATTGGAAAGGAACTTGAATGCCACATTGAAGGGTTTGGTCTTGATCCTGCAGATATGGAGTGTCACGGAAAAAAATGACAGTAGGTTTACCGGCTGAATTGTATACCCCACAAATCTCTGTGCTGAGGCCCTAACCTCACAGTGTAACTGTATTTAGAGATAAGGCCTTTAGGGAGGTAATAAGGTTAAATGAAGTTATCAAGATGGGGCTCTAATGTGATAGGACCAGTATGCTTGTAAGAAGAGAAAGAGACGCCAGAGCGTTCCCTCTGCCATACAAGAACCCACGAGAAGGTGGCCATCTACAAGCCAGGCAGAGAGGCTTCATCAGAAACCCACTCGGACGGCACTTTGATCTCAGACTTCTAGCCTCCAGAACTACGAGGAGATAAAATTCTGCAGTTTAAGCCACTTAGTCTGTAGCGTTTGGTTATCGAAGCCCCAGCAGACGAATGCAGTAAGAGAGCAGCATAATTGGATTAGGGGTTTAGGAAGATAACCCTCGCTGCGGGGAGAGTTTCTTTGCATGTTCTTTGATCAACTCCATACATTCTTTGAAACCCAACTCCTTCGAGAAGAGTTCTTGATTCTTTAAGCTTGATCTTAACGTCCTTCAATATGTTCCCATAGTATTATGTGCATACATCTATCATAATAATGTATCATAATTCTTGACTTTAATTGACTATCTCCCCCCACTAGATTGTGAACTCCTTGAGATCAGGAGCCACAACTTATGTTTGCATTCCCAGCATCTAGTACAGTACTTGGCACAGAGCAAGTTCTCAATAAATATCTGTGGAATTAAGTAATTCATAAGTTAATAGAAAGACCTGGGGCAAGAAAACCAGTCCTAAGATACTAATAGTCCATTAGCTGAACATCCATCTATAACTCATACCATATTGTCTTAAATTGTTTGACAAAAGATGAAAAAATTGAAGATATTGTATCTTTAACCTTTTATTTCTAATCCTATCCAAAATGAAATTAAATGAAACTTTAACTCCAAAAGTGCTGAAGAGGTTGATTTTTAATGACTTTTGCCTCACTGAAAATTAGGCTCCTTCCTTCCCTTTAAGTCCTAGTATAAGTATACAGTACCTAATATCTTTGAGAGAGAAGAAAGTGCTGACTATTTCTAATTACCTAATTTGTTTGGAGGAGTCACCAATATCCACAAAGTGAATTAATGTGATCAGCAAACTCAAATGCATTGTTCTGTAATTTATGCACAATTCCCGATAAGTCTTTCAGAGTTTGCCAATATGTGCAGTGATTAAAGACAGGCCAAAGCAAATCCTCAGTCTTTGCCTTTATAGTACAGGAACAGTTACGGGAATGGAATTTATCCATTAACCAAAGTATTTCTATAAATCACAGCATTAATTGCTGAGTTAAATGCTGTGCCTGCATCATGAAGAACAAACAAGATATTGCCAAAAAGAGATGTGTTCAGTTGATTTAACAACACCAATGTGTTTAATTTCAGCCCTTAGTGAAAATGGTTTTAGATGACAGACTCATTCCTCTGATGATTTAATGTTGACCTAGTAGGACAGTCAATTACATTCAACATGTCTGTTCTTAAAACACTGTATATGGTTTGGGGCCTTATTGGATGGAAAGCATGTGAATCCATTTCTCTCCACTTCCCACTAATTCTGTTGTTCCTATACATCCCTTGGCTTTTGCGGAGACTGAGACTAGCCAGTTTAATAGAATTTCTTAATTTTCAATTAAAATTCTAACAGAGGTTTTCCATTTGCTCAAGCAGACATACCAGAAGTAGAAAAAAAAAATGTTTTTTTAGCTTTTTTTAAAATCCTCATGCAAGGATATTTTTTCCATTGCTGTTCAGAGAGAGTGGGAGGGAGAGCGAGAAACATTGATGTGAGAGAGACACATTGATTGGTTGTCTCCCGAGTGTGCCCCGACTAGCCTGCAATGGAGCTACGTGCCCTTGGGTTAAGTAGAAAATTTTTATACACATTTGTTAAAAAGAATAACTGAGATTATTTAGAAAGCTTAATGAAAATCAGATGACCTTCTGAAATGTTGGCCTACCTTTTCCAGATACTTTTTTCTCTCCTCAATCTGTAGGGTTTCAGCAATGGCATCTGTACCCTCTAAAGAAAATAAAGTCAAATTCAATCTGAAATAATTTTATCATGATTTTACAATAATATTGATATAAAATTGCCTAAGGATTGAAAGGTAATACTTAGAGTAGGAAGGTAAACGCAAATACATACTGTGTCTTAAAACTTTATAAACCAGATTCATAAATAATTGGAGATGGAATTAATTAGCTGTGGCTGCAGGAGACCTCTAATCTCTTTAGAAGACCACTAAATCTGAGCCTGGAGACAAGAAAAGGTCTCTAAAGAGAACATATTTGGTTTTAGACATTCCAATTTCCACATTCCTATTCAAAATATTATAGGAATTGAAAAAAAAAATTATAGCAATTGAGGCATTTTCCTCTCAATAAATAGGGTGATTCCTGAGGCAGGGCTTTGGTATGCAATTCAGAAAGTTGTGCTAAAGTGTAAAGTTGGGTCCTTGTACTTACTATGCATTTTCTGAAGAATCTCGGAATCAGGATGTTGAAAGGCATAAAACTTGGTACTTACTGTTTTTCTTGGGACAAAAAGACTGCAAGTAACCTTTCTCTAAAAATTAAAAAAGAATAGAAATCATTGGAAAACCACAGCATTAAAGGTCTTTAAGCTTTCTATACCTACAAAAATGGCATAATAACAGTTTCCACATTTTAGGCCTTCCTAAGGTCTTACAGGCCGGAAACTTGGTTCCTAATGTTGACTCTGCCTTCAACTCTCTCTGGGGATTTTATGTTTGAACTCAGTGATGTAAACAGCTATTCTTAATATCTTTTCAGCCAAGATATAATAACATTTCTCCAGATGATTCTATACCTTTTGGCCAAATAGATGCCAAAGCCTCAGGGATACTTTAAGATGTAACAAAGACACCACTGATCCCTTTGGGTAGAAGAACTGCGGAGAAGTTTGAACAACTATTTGTATTGGGTTTTAGACATTTCAAAGGAAAGATTCTTATTTTAATTAGATTTGATAGATAAATGGATAAAGATGTGGCATGTTAGCCATAAAAAAGAATGAAATCTTGCCATTTACGACAACATGGATGGACCTAGAGTGTACTATGCTAAGAGGAATTAGACAGAGAAAGACAGATATCGTATGACTTCACTTACATGTGGAATCTAAATCACAAAATAAGTGGACAAACAAAACAGAAACAGACTCATAGATACAGAGGACTCATTGCCAGACGGGAGGGATGTTAAGGGAATGGACGTAAAAGGTGAAGGGAAACGACAAATTGCCAGCTATAAAAATAGTCCCAGGATGTAAAAGTAAAGCATAGGGAATATAGCATACTAGACTTATGGGGGGGGGGTTCACTTCCTAAGTTATATAAATACTTAATCACGATGCTGTACACGTGACGCTAATACAATATTGAATGTCAACCATACTTGAAAAAAAAAAAAAAGAATTATGTTCAGCAGCCCCTCCTGGGAGGGGCCCTGGTACCTTCCCCAGGGACAGCTACGCACCAGCCGCGCTGCTCCGGGAGGACCCCGCCACCGGCAGGCGCTGGCTGCTGCACCCCGACAGCACCAGCTGGGACTCGTTAGGGGGGTACATGGACGCCGTGATCCAAAACTGCTTGGCCAAGTTCGCGTCCTTTTCTGAAGAGCCGGTGAACACCAGCAATCCCTGGGGACACATTTCGCTGGACTCCCTGCGGTCGCCGGGACTAGCACCGCGCCTCGCTTCCATGGCAACTGAGGACGCTCCTCCGAGGCCCGGCGCCTCTCCCAGCCCCGCCTCTCGGACAACCGCCCAGCC